TCTGGTAGGTTATGGCCATGGTGGGATTGGGCTGGGCCCTACCCGGGGGATTGCAGAGAGGGAGACTGGGTCCAGAGGCTTAGAGAGTGGCCACAGGTGTGGGGAGAGGGAAGTGCGAATGGGTCAGGTGGAACATTCTCTCTAGGGCAACTCTTGGAGCAATTGCCTCAGCAGCTGTGGAGTGAGGCAGTCTGCTGACCCTTTCCCCCTTGACTCCAGCTCTGAGAATCTGCTTTGGTGGATTCTGGAAGTCCCTGAGAGTTGGTATCAGACAACTGAGTACCTCAGGCATTCCCTTTCCTCCCTGGGCTTCAGGTTCCCCATGGAGACAGACAGGGATGGTCTTTAAAGCTCTCCCTCCCAGGGCTGAGGTTCCCCAGCTATGCGGTCTTCTTTTGCATATGTCTGCACTCTCTCCTTAGACCCCCTTCTTCTGCCCCAGACAGTCTCAAGATTTCCTCTTATCCATCCCGAGCTGAGCCAAGGGTTATTTTGGGGCCTGGAAGGGAGCCAATAGTTAGGTGCCAGACACTCATTTGATTATTATAAACACTCCAGGAAGGAGACATTTGCTAGGTAAGGCTCAGAGAGGTTAGGTAATTTGCCCAGGGTAACTCAATCATTAAGAAGTGGACTCATCTATTCTGTTTATTCTTCCGTGCCGCACCATGCTGAGTGTCCCACCCTCCCTGCGGGTAGTGGAGGTGGTGACTGTGTTTCATTCTGAACCAAGCATCATGCTGAAATATAAATGCAGAGAGCCCTAGTGGTAAGATTTCAGGCAACAATGAAAGAGACAAAGGAGAAAAGAACAAAAGTGATTCAGGAAAGACATGAAAATCATACCTTCTTCTCCAGCAGCAGCTCCTTCAAGAGTTGGGCTCTAAAACCACTTCGTTTTTATTAACTGAAATAAGCTTGGGGAGGAGGAGTTGCCTTTGATTTTATCAATGTCACAAACATCCCCAGTCCCTGATAAGAGCCAGGAAACATTGAGTAATGTGGGGTCCCAGGGAGCATGGGGAGCAGGCGGGCCTCGCATCTCCTAGGGAGCAGGAGTAAACTTCAAAAGCCCTTACGCCCTGCAGGGGACTGAACAAAGGCACTGTCTTCCAGCCAGGCTCTGTGATTCCACAAATCCAGGGAGGTGTAGTGCAGTGGACAGAGCTCGGGACATGAAAACAGACAAGATACACCAAAACATTCCCAAAGAATATTCCTGGAAGCAGTCAGCCTCTTTTCTATTTTTTTTCTCTTATATTTCTGCATTTTACATTGCACATATGTTACTTCGGTAATCAGGACAAATACATGCTAAAAAAGTAAAGAGAGAGAGAGAGGGAGATTGTGCCATGGTCCAGGGCTCCAAAATTCAGGACTCTGAGGTCAGCTGTGCCTGACTTGTGGCTTGGCTCTGGGCTTCCTGAGAAACCAGGGAGGTGACACCTGCTGCCTCTACCAAGGGACCCAGGACGACTTGCAAGGAGCCGGCTTAAGAGCCTGGAGAGGTAAGGATCCCCGTGTAAATGTTAGGACGCAGTTACTATTGTTTCCACTGTGTCTTATACATCACAATGAATCCAAATGCAAGGCTTCCCAAAGCGGACCATGAAGAGGGCAGCTGTGCCTCCCATGAGTCTGAGATTAGGGCTCCCAGCAGTGGAGCTCCCAGTGTGAGGTCCAGGGCTCTGGCCCTAAAGCTGCTGCAGGGACTCCATTTCTGACCCTGTAGCACACCTGCCAAGTGTCCTTGGGCGAGTTAGTCCCCCTCTCTGAGCCTCAGTTCCTCATTTGTAAAATGAGAATAATAATAGTGCTTGCCTCACAAGGTTGTTGGGAGAAGTGAGTACATTAATACACAGTAAGCTTGGCAGAGGGGGACTTTCTTTGAGAGGCAGTATGACTTAGTGTTGAAGAGCATGGACTCTGGGAGAGGTGCCTGAGTGGCTCAGTTGGTTAAGTGTCCGACTCTTGGTTCTCAGGTCATAATTTCAGGGTTGTGAGATCCAGCCACATGCTGGGCTGGATCTCTGCTTGAGATTTTGTCCCTCTCCTTCTGCCTTCTGCCCATCTCCCCATGCTCACTCGCACTCTCTCTCTCTCTCTCTCTCTCTCAAAATAAATAAATAGATAGATAAAATCTTTTTAAAAATCTGGGTTTCAGTTCCTGAATCTACTACTCACTTGCTGTGTGATCTTGGGCCAGTTCCCTAACCTCCCTGTGCTTCAGTGTTGTCGGCTATAAAAGGGGGCTGATAATAGTATTGAACTTCTATAACTTCTGTAAGGTAAATGTGAGGATTGAATAAGTCAATACAAGTAAAGCTCCTTGCCTCAGCACCCGGAACGTCGTCAGGGCTCTATGGTGTTAGCTCTATGGTGTTACAATGATTGCACGCCATTTACTCCTCACAAAATTCTTTTCTGTGAGTACTCTTTATTTTATGGGCCAGAAGATAGGCTTGTGCAAGTCAAGGGCTCCAGGATGGAAGCCTTGACTTTGTGTTAGGAGTGGCAGGGCCCTAAGTTCAAGCCCGAGGGCCTTCCAAACCAAGCAGTGAAGCAGAGACCCAACTGAGTTCGTGAGTTCTCTCCCAGTGTGCCATTCCTGAGACACTAAGCTTCTTTCTTCGGGTCCTCCTTGTATGGCTGGCATTTCCTTTCCCTGTTTTTCATTCCCGTACCATCAGCCCCCCAGCCTCTTCCATGCAGGCACCCCCAAGCAACAGTAGCAGCCTGATCGGTCACTTCATCTCTAGTCCCCATCCTTCACCCTTGTCTTTTAATGAGCAAGCCCAGACTCAGCCTGCATTCAAAGCCCAGCTCTGTGACTTAGTAGCTGTGTGGCCTCGGGCAAGTCCCTTAGCCTCTCTGTGACTAACTTTCCTCATATGTAAAATGGAGATGACAATAGCACCTGCCTCCAGGAAGAAATGCATGGAGTTCTGAGAACAGAGCCTGGCCAAACATAAGTGCTATGGAAGTGGTGGGTGTTTATTGCTGTTGTTGAAATTGTCACATAGGCAGTAAGTTTTAACATCTGGTGTTTCTCAATCCCAGGGGGAAGAAAATAGAATCATCCCCAGCTATGACCAGTTCACCCAAAAGCAAGTATTCCTCTATGTATGTCCCAAGGCCAGAGCACTTTCCCGATTGGAGAGGGCGTCACTTCCTAACTCCTTGCTTCAATTTTTCCAGCCACAGCTAGGCCAGAAATGCAGAATGGTAAAACCAGATTTAGAGGCAGAGGGAGCCCATCCCAATCTGGGCCAGGGTGGAGACCTGGCCTTGGACTCCATCTCCACCCCAGTCCTCCCAGAGCAGTTAGGGGAGCCTCCGGAGGGAGGAAGCTGGGGGTGGTCCAGGGAGGCTGTGCCAGCTGGAGACAGCACTTGAACGTGGCTCAAGGAGAGCAGTGGGCCGGACGTGCTCCACGGCTAGGGGCTTCCAAGGTCGCTGCGGCAGGGCTGACCCAGGCTGGGGAAATGCCCCACACAAGGAGGGTCTTGGCTCTGCTGTGTCCAGGGCACCAGTGAGGGGGAAGGCAGAAAGCCAAGCAAGGCAAAAATGTGGTGGGAGAAGAAGGGATGAAGAAAGGTGATGGTACTGATTAAGTCCACGGTCACTTGCTGAACGCCTCTCAGATGCCAACCCTGTGCTAGTGAGTTCCAACCCCTGCCTCGCAGAGGAGACAAGCCATTCTCACAAGGTGACTCCACTCAAGGAGACAGGCACCAAGGCTGAAGAGTGGCCTCTGTGAGTGCTGGGGGTCAGGGCAGGAGATACACCAGGCTAGCGGCCTGGGTAGGCTTCTGGGAAGGGAGAATTGGGTTGCATTTTAAAGGATATGATTTCTAAATTGTAAGGAGGCCAGCATAATTTTTGTTCACTAGGAGTGATCTCAGATGTTATTCTTGGTTTTACATTTTGAAAGCTGGTGTGGCTTTTTGGGGCAACATTTGAGCTTGTTTATTTGTTCACTAGTCACAGCGGCATGGGGGCAGCATGCTCAGTACGGCCGTGCCACAGGCCACCTACACGTGACTCTGTCCCAAGGGCCCTTGGCTAGAGAGAAGGGCAGCTACAGGACTGATGTGGCACATGGAGGAGAAAAGGTGATGGAGACACAGACAGGGTCAGAGGGAAATGGACAGGGGTAGGACAGGCTTCATGGGGTCTTGATCAGGGGTATTCCAGCAAAGGTTTAATAATCAGCTCTCAGGGATGGAGGTGGTGGTGGGGGACATTTGCAAGAAGGAGAGGAAGCTCCAATTTGAAGCATTTGCAACCGTATAAATAGCCCCACCGTGATCAATTTCAAGCTACCAACTTAACATCCCCAAATGAGGAATTGTTTAATTCTACGATCATTTGTTGGATGCCTCCCAGATGTTGCATAACTGGCTCTCACAAGCCTGTGGGAGTTGTTCCAGCATATTAACGACTTTGGATATTCTCTGCCACTGGCTACTAAGGTCAGAAGTCCCGCTACCAGAGGCCCATCCTTCAACTTCAGGTTTGGCCATACTGAAAAAGGGAACTAGAGGGAAAGGGTCACCAGTTCTACTTATATTGTTGGGGCCATCCAATCCTGGGTCCCTGATTTGCTGATCTGAAGCTGGGAGCAGTGGGACTCCACCCATTCCAAGCCTCAGTTTCCTCATCTAGAATATGGGAATCACAGTAGTATTGCTTCCCAGAGCTATGGTGAGGATTAAAGGAGAAAATTCCATCTGGGTGTTCAGCTCTTGGAAGGAGCTCAACTAACATCGTTGCCTTCTTGCCTAGATGGACATAGCAATATCCTCTCTCTTGTTGCCTCAACTGTGACTTCTCTGAGAGGCCCAGGGAGGCGAGCCCTAGATCCTCAGGAGGGGACATTACTCTCCGGCCAGAGATTCTTGCTGAGTCAAAGCTGGAGCCAGCCCAGGCTGGCAGCCTCAGGAAGTCACAAAGACCATGATGTTACGCTCCAGAGACAAACTGTAGTTTGCCTTTGTGCCCTTGGCTTCATTGTTGGGGAAGCTCTGCTCACCTCACCTTTGTTTTCCCTCCTCTTTAAATCCTCCTTCTCCATATAATTCCCTAGATTTCCACAAAGGTTCCATGACAGAACTTCATACTGCTAATTCACACCAGCATGTATATAACTGATACACTCCTTTATTCCTCTCAAGGTATTGCTGGATAAACCAAATGAATTCAGGCATAAAGAAAAGTGAACACAAAAAACAAAAACCCCAGTGAATCCAGAGGAACAGGTAGGTGTGAGCTGAGAGGGACATGAAGGGCAGTCTGGAGCATGGGGTTCATGGTCTCAGAGTTCAAGGCAACCTGGAAAGATTCCCAGAGTGAAATATCAGGAGGCCAGAGGCCACGAGAGGGAAGGGAACAGTGTTCCAACGGGAAGGAACCTTGTAAAGGTGACCTCGGCCTGCCTGGAGCCTGCTGACCCTGACTTCTGGCTTTGATCAAAGCAATCATCAGACTTGGTTGTTTGTTAAAGAGGGGACTTTGAGAAACCAGGTCAGGATCAACGTCAGTAATGCTGGCTGGACCAGAAGAGCTGGTGTTTAGTTAGTGACAACTTCTAATTAATAATCCCTAATCAGGCCCAAGTGCAGAAGAGCACTCACTCCTCCCAATCCCAGTAGCTTATGGACTCCAACATCAGCCATGGCCCTTACTGCTGCCTAGGAAAAGGAGGGGCTCAGGGACAGGAGACCCCAGATGCAGAGGAAGGAAATGGAGGAACAGGAAAGGAAGGCACGAGGCAAATTTCCTGAGGCCAGTCCAGAGCCCAGCCCTAGATAAAGCCACCCAGGCTGAACTTCTAGGCAGACCTAGGGCATGTGTGTGATTTTCCCCATTTGGCAGATGCCATTTGATAGGAGCCCAAGGGTGGTGCGGAGGTTCATTGAGCAAGAAGACTCAGGGGTTTCCCTGGGAGACATTCTGTCTCGGCAACATAGTATATTTCCATCAGCTGTGAAGTCCAGGTGTCATGGATTTAGGCTGGGTTAGCTAAGGCCCTGAGTCAAAAATTCTTTCAGAGTTCTTCCTGGGCAAGGGTCGAGGGGGGAGAGGCAAAACTTCTACCAGGAAGGATTGGGGCAAATGTTTGCAATGTATAAGTAAGAAGCTAAATCCCTACCAAAAAACCTCTTATAAAATGAGAATCCACCCATCAAAACAAAGAACTCTTCACAGAAGACATACAAAAAGGCATTGAACATATTAAAAAGTTCAATATCTCTTGAATCAAAGAATAACAAATAAAGCACAGAAGTGCAAAGTGGGCTTGATTTGTATTTCTTGATTTATGAACCGTAATCACTAGCCTATAGGCCCCACTCCAGAGGCCATGCGTGATTGCTTCCTTGAATGACGATTTTTTATCTCCTACTCTCTCCTCCAAAACCCTCTTCTTCATTGGCAAACAATCTAACGTGTTGAACATGAAGTCTGTCTCCTGGAACACAGAATGGGAATCATCACAGATTCTTATCACTGGCACATGTGAGGCTCTCTCTTAAAAATCATTTATTTTATTTTATTTTTTAAAGATTTTATTGAATTATTTGAGAGAGAGAGAGGGAGAGAGAATGAACAGGAGGAGAGGAAGAGGGAGAGGGAGAAGCAGACTCCCTGCTGAGCAGGGAGCCTGATTGGGGGCTCAATCCCAGGACCCAGGATCATGACCTGAGCCGAAAGCAGACCCTTAACCCACTGAGTCACCCAGGTGCCCTTAAAAATAATTTTTAATAATACAATTAAAACCTGGGAAACCACTGCTCCAGAGGGAACTAACTTGACCATAGACAGTGACCTGCCCTCCTCCCATGCCTCCAGCTTCTACCCAGGCAGCCCCCATCTTTAACGCTGTGCTTATCAGTTCCCTGCTTTCCCTTTCATCTCTTTGAACTCCTTCAAAGTATTTTTGTTTCATTTGTTTTAATTCTATTAAACGAGTATCATGTATGCATTTTTATGGGACTTAGAAATGTTGGACATATTCAAATGGCAGTAAGGAGGTAGAGATTCTCAGGTGGTGGTAGGGTGGGGGGTGAGGAAGGAATCCGAGGTGTCTCCCACATTGCAGTCCTAGGTGACTGAGTAGTTGGTGGTGCCATTCAGTTAGAGAGACGCAAGAGAGGAGAAGACACTGATGGGAAGACGATGGACTGAGTTCTCAACAAAGCAATAATTTAAGCTAACATTCAATGAGTGCCTACTCTGTTCTGGCACTCTTTCCATAGAGTGTGAAGTGCTCTACATGATTGATCACATTTAAGCTTCACAAGAACCCCACAAAGTAGGTACTGTTATTAGTAGTATCATTTTAAATATGGAAGAATGGGGGTATGGAAAGTTTAGTAGGTTCTGAGTCTCTCAGGAAGATGGATCTTGCCTTTCTGCTTCAAAACTACATATACTGGATAAAATGTTTTTATTTTTAAAATATTAAATATTTGTAAATAAAATATTGGTATAAAACTAAATTTTTAAAATAAAGTGTTTTAAAAAATAACAAAAATAAGGGAAATCCTTAGGTGATAGAAGTCGAGAAAATTGAAAGTCAGGGTGGACACACTAGATATTTATGCATAAAATAAGCCACTGAAGAGAAGTGCTTGTTAAAAAAAAAAAAATAAGGGGGCGCCTGGGTGGCTCAGTGGGTTAAGCCTCTGCCTTCAGCTCAGGTCATGATCTCAGGGTCCTGGGATCGAGCCCCGCATTGGGCTCTCTGCTTGGCAGGGAGCCTGCTTCCCCCTCTCTCTCTGCCTACTTGTGATCTCTCTCTCTGTCAAAGTAACTAAACGAAATCTTTTTTTTTTAAATAAGGCACACAAAGAAGAATAATTATAAGGCATACATGAGGAAGAGTATGGAGAGATAATACACAGGTGAACTGGTATCCCCTAAATAATAAAGAAAAATCTGAGAGACATTATTAGTTCTTTCAAACGATGAAGGAGAAAATAAAGAAGAGAAGCCATAATGGAAGAAGGGAGTCCTATGAAAACACCTGAGGTTAAGGCACCCACCTAGGGTGACATAGCTCTAAGTGGTAGACTCAGGCTCCCCACACTTGTGCTCTTCCTTGCTAGCTTACAGGTACTGATGTCGATGTGAAGAGTGTGCAGGGCCTCCCAGAGCAGTAGCAAAAGTGGGTTTGGAGAACAGTAAAGAATGCCTGGTTTCATCTTCTTTCTCTCCCACCGTACTCTGGCCCACAGAGCTCCAGAACTGGACGTGTCCTCCCAACATGGCCTCCACCACCTCCCCTCTGCCGCCCACCACCGAGGTCGCAAGTTCTGAGAACAGCAGCTCCTTCTATGACTATGAGTACTACCTGGACCAGGTGGCTTTCATGCTCTGCAGGAAGGACGAGGTGGTAGCCTTTGGCAAGATCTTCCTGCCAATCTTCTACAGCCTGATCTTTGTGCTGGGTTTGGGCGGGAACCTCCTCCTTCTAGTGGTCTTGCTTCGGTATATACCTCGCAGGCGGATGACTGAGGTCTATCTGCTGAACCTGGCCATCTCCAACCTCCTGTTTGTGGTGACACTGCCTTTCTGGGGCATTTCCATGGCCTGGCATTGGGTCTTTGGGAGTTTCTTGTGCAAGATGGTGAGCACCCTCTACACCATCAACTTCTACAGTGGCATCTTCTTCATTAGCTGCATGAGTCTGGACAAGTACCTGGAGATCGTCCATGCTCAGCCCCACCACAGGCTGAGAACCCGGGCCAAAAGCCTGCTCCTGGCTGCCTCGGTATGGGCTGTGGCCCTGGCCGTCTCCATCCCTGACATGGTCTTTGTGCAGACACATGAAAACCCCACGGGTGTATGGAACTGCTATGCAGATTTTGGGGGTCATGCGACCATCTGGAAGCTCTTCCTCCGTTTCCAGCAGAACCTCCTAGGGTTTCTCCTTCCACTCCTTGTCATGATCTTCTTCTACTCCCGCATTGGCTGCATCCTGGTCAGGCTGAGGCCCCCGGGCCAGGGCCGGGCTCTAAGGATCGTCACAGCGCTGGTGGTAGCCTTCTTCGTGCTGTGGTTCCCATACAACCTCACCTTGTTTCTGCACTCACTGCTGGACCTGCAAATCTTTGGGGAATGCGAGGTTGCCAAGCAGCTAGACTATGCTCTGCAGGTGACCGAGAGCATCGCCTTCCTTCACTGCTGCTTCACCCCCATTCTCTACTCTTTCTCCAGCCGCCACTTCCGCCAGTATCTGAAAGCTTTCCTTGTCACTGTGCTCAGGCGTCACCAGGCACCTGGCCCAGCACAGGCCCCACTGTCCAGCTGCTCTGAGAGTAGCAGGCTCACTGCCCAAGAAGAAATGACCGGCATGAATGACCTCGGGGAGAGGCTGGCTGAGCTCTCCCCCAGCAAGAGTGATATGGGGGAAAATTAAACCTGAGTGACCATACCACAGTCTGGCGAGTGTGGATGGGACCTAGCTCTGTTGGGCATCCACCCAAAGCCCTCTTTCCAGAGGCTTCAGGGACCATGTTGCCACACCCTGTCGTCGTCCAGGAAACCAGACTCTCGTGCACGAATTGCTAGAGTAGCTTCCCAACCAACTGCTGTGCTTCTGGTCATCATGCTCTCCTGTCATCTGATCTGCACCCACAGGCCAGAATGATCACCTCACCTGCAGCCATCACTCCAGCCTTCATCAAAGTAGCCCCAGGCTTGCCACCCACCAGTTGGCTCCCTTCCCTGGAGCTCAGCTGGGGACGTACTGCTGCAATATTGTTTAATGTCACAGTGTTGATGGTGGCTCCAAGGGTCCGGCAAGCAGGAGGGGTGGGAAGGGTTCCACTACGGGGGCCTGGGGGACTTCCCTGGAACGTGAGAGTTGGCAGGTGGGAGGCAGAGTGAACACGTGTTCCCAATAGTCCAGGAGGATCACCCTCTCTCTGCTTCCCATGTCCCCTCCCTGGAGCCTTCGGGGGTCCCTAGGGCCTGCACAATCAAGTCTAAAGTCTCTGTCCAGCTTCAAGACTGGAGCTTTCACAAGAAGAATCCCATTTACCAGCTTGACCTTATACTCCTTCATTACTTCTCATTTCCTGGACACCAGGCACCCCTTGTTTCTTTTCTTTTTTCTTTTCTTTTCTTTTTTTAAGATTCTATTTATTTATTTGCAGAGAGAAATCATAAGTAGGCAGAGAGAGAGGAGGAAGCAGGCTCCCCGCTGAGCAGAGAGCCCGATGTGGGACTTGATCATGACCTGAGCCGAAGACAGAGGCTTAACCCACTGAGCCACCCAGGTGCCCCACCCCTTGTTTCTGACACATTTCCACCTCCCTGTTTTATGCTTGCTCACTCTCTTGTGCAACAGGGGTCATTTTTTCAGCCAGCTGTCTTCTCATCCTTGTTCTGTAATGGAATTCTGCTTGCTCTGGGAAACCACTTGTTTTTCCCTCTGCCTTGTGCTTTGGGTGGCATTCATGTAGAGCACAGGACTTGGGCCATTTCCAGCCTTACCTTTCGCTGGCATGGTGATTCATTTAGGATGGGCACAGAACCCAGATAGAGCTTGTGAAATGCAGCAACTAGAACACGCTAGAACAGAGGCATGAGATTGAAGCCAAGAGGATGTGTGGTGTGTGTGTGTGGGGGGGGTTCTCCTTCATCATCTCCAACTTCAGAGGGTGAGGTGATAGCCCAGTGAGTGTGCAGACCCCGAGGGCACTGTGGAAGCCCCGGAATCCAGGCATGGCTGAACCTGTCCCAGTCCTGGACCTGACAGTTACACGAACCAATATATTCCTTCACATGGGGCTGTTTTGTCACTTGCGGTCTGATTCCTGGCTGATCTGCCCTGCCTAGGTGCTTCCCTCTTCCTGTCTCCAGTGGTTAGCATCTGTCCTGGCCACTGAAAACCTTTCCCCAGGGAGCCCCTGGCCCACAGTACAACCTGTCCACAACTGGCTGTGTCTGTCCTGAAAATCCAGCACAGAGCCTGGCAGGCAGTAATGCATGGAAGGAAACTTACAGGCGGATAGACTGGAGGACAAGAGAACACAGGGCTGGTTATACGCAAGCTCCAGGAGATCAGGGACTTTGCCACGTATTAAATCGGTATCCCCTGTGCTTAAGCCAGTGCTCAGAATGTAACAGAGGTTCATTGAGCATTTTTAAAATGAATGGATGGATAGAGAATGGACCAGGTGGTCAGTATTCTGCCGTTCTTTCTTCTCTCCCCCTGAGCTTCGGATGCTCTAGTCACGGCCCATGTGTCATGAGCAGGGCTGTCCCCGGATGTTGCCAGAGTTGACTCTGCTGGTTTTATACGCTTTGCTTTTCCCATCCTCCATCTCACTCAACTCTTGTGCCTTTAGTTCTCTCTCCCAAGGCCCCGGATTCCCACTGTCAGAAAGGACTCTGAGCTCCCATGGTGCCCTAGGAAATGGAGCTCTGACTCTGAAGGTGCTGACTTGTTTAAGGATGTGGGTGATGTGGTTCTACTTTAGAGCTCCTGAAATCTGCCCCAGGGGGGACCTCAGGCCTGCCCACAGAGCAGCCTGAATGTACTGACAGGGTCTAGCGACCCAGAGTCTCCGACGTTGTATCCATGATGCACAGATGCATGATGCACAAGCCTGGCAGGGCTTGTCCCCAGCACTGGGGTGTGTGTGTGTGTGTGTGTGTGTGTGTGTGTGTGTGTGTGTTGCCGTGTGGGCTGTGCGTAGTACATATGGCTGTGTATGTGGATCTGACATGAACATGTCACTGTGTCTGCATGGGTCTGGGTTTGTGCCCATGGGTTTTCTGTGTGTTCCTGTGTGTCTTCCTCTAGGTGTGTAGGTGTGGGTATGTGCTCTCTGCAAACAGCAGGTGTATGAGAAGGGATCTGAAGCCTGTGCCCAAGGAGAAGGAGAAGGGCTGGCCATAGGTGATGTTGATCCCTCTCACTGTCTTCCTTACCATTGACTGCTGCTGACCATGTTGAGGGCTCTGACTACACACAGACGGCACTGGTCAAGGAGTGAATTGGAGGTGGGCTTTCACAGCCCAGGCCAGGACAGAGCCCCCTTCATCCTGACCTTACTTCCCAGCCTGGACGTTGGTTCCTCCTGCTGCTCTTTCCTGGGAAAGAAAGCTCCCAGGATTGTCTTGGCCCTCAGATTCCGACGCAAGATGGACTTTTCCCACTGGCTGACCTGGGAAGAAGGACAGGCACGGCTCTGCCTGGGAGCAAGGCTGCCCACCCTCTACTCTGTGAAGGTGTGAGGGTTTACAGCAGTTTCTACCTATGGGGGTGGTGGTGGAAACAACCAAACCAAACCAACAGAAAAACCTCTTTTCTTTCCCAGATGCCTGCAAATCTGCCACTGGCATGTCACCCCAGATCTTGTTCTGTTATAAGCTATTGTCACAGAATACACATTGTGGGCTATTCTTTGAGGGAGAAGAAACTGGTACAGAAATGAGGATTGGGGGGTCAGGCCTGTTGTGTCAGAATAGGTAGTGACTAAATGTATCCTTGGGGGTCTCAGTCTTCCTATTGCCTCAAGGCCCCTGGTAGGGAAGGAAGGGTAGTCTTTGTAGAGAGTGTGTCCAGCCCTCGTGCAAAGCACATAGGACTACAGTTGCCATGGGGCCCTCCCTTGTCCTTGGGTAGGCATTGGGCTCTGTGCACACACTCTAATCCTGGGTGCTCACTGTTTCCTGGGAGGCTGTTGTTATGGTGGATATCCATGACTGTGGGATGGTACACTTGTATTCATCTCAACCTGACCCATGGAGGATTCCCTTGGTCCCAGGCCTACCCTCAAACATGAAGTTCCTGGGAGATCTAAACGAAGTCACTTTCAGTTGAGACCTCTTGACTCAATGGACTTTGGCCCTCCGGTCAGGTCCCTGGTCCAGATTTCTCTGGGTGTGGGGAAAATGAGGGGATGCAGCACCTAGGTCTGGGCAGGGCCCAGGAGTGTGTGAAGACTCTGCGTCTTTGCCCTGATCCAGCACAGGACCTGGCTGTGCGGAGAGCCAGGAGAGGCTCGTTGGTAATCTCTCTGTCGTGGCTCCCAGCCTCTCAATTCCCTTCACCTTCTTCTGTGTTCCCCACGTCATTTTTTCTTATGCTCCTAGCCCCTTGCAGAATAGGAGGGAATATTCTTCCTGAATATTCCTCCTGACTGGCTTGAGCTCTGTTAGCTCCAGGCAGACATCATCATTTTGGGGCAGCTAGACCCAGAGAAGGGCAGACTCTGGCCCAGAGTCACATAGCTAATGGGGACAGACTCCTAACTCCAGCCCCAGGCCCTACCTGAGTTGCTCTAACAGCCTATTATCTTAGCAAAACTCTGGACAGGACAGCCAGCCTCAAGGAAAAAAAAAAATGGAAGAGATCAGTCATAGATGTGGGATAGATGAGTAAGAGAGAAGCCCCACTGGGCATCCTCACAGGGGGTCTATGCTGCTTGGCTCCCCTTCTGCAGGACCCTTGGTTAGTCCCCACAGCATCTGCCCCTCCTGTCCGGGGCAGCTCAGCTCTGGCAGCCAGCAACACACTCTCACCCTCTCCCAGCCCTAGTAAGCATACCTGGCAGTGGGACTATCATCATTTCTTGTGCCAGAAAGCTGAGTGAGGCCAGGGAGGGGGAAGGAAATGATTCGAGGACACGAAGTAAAGTAGCTGAGATGGAGTTGATTTTTTATCATTTAATTTCTATTTGGGGAATTGGGGATCAGAGATGAAGTAATAAGACACTAAGCCCTATGAGCTCCAGTCTGGGGGAGGGAGCAGGACACAGAAATTGAAGGCACATAACAGATTTGCTGTGATGTAAACTGTGCTAGGGGAGCCTCAGGGGATGGAGTCCATTTCTGGCCAGAGGATGGGAGTGGGGAGATCCAGGAAGATTTCTACCCGTAGCTAATTCTTGGTCATTAAAGCAAGCAACTCTACAGACAATTTCACTAGAGAAAGTTGGCAATGTTGAATTGTGCTAGATTGAAAATTTGGGGACCAACTGTGGCAAAGTTTAAATGTTAGGTGTGTGGAGGAGCCAGAAAAGTGAGAGAATGACAATCAGATGTGAAAGTTTTGGAGAAAGGGCAGGGTGAAGAGAGGGCCAGGCAGGTCTGGTGTGGAGAGATGCAGAGTGTTGAGCTATCACAGGGCAGTGGGGGTGGGGAAAAGGGGACAGTTTCAGAGACACTGCAAGGGCTTGAAGTGACAGAACTGGAGCCTGACTGTGGGTGAGAGCTGGGGAGGTGAGGATGTCATCTCTGTGTCTGTCTTGGGGGATAGATTGGTGGTGATGTCTTGAGGAGAGATAGGGAAATCCAGAGAAGGACGTGGTTCAGGGCAGAGGTGGGGGACAGATGCTGAGTTCTATGTGAGCCAAACTGAGTCAGAGGGTCTGTGGGACCCCAGTGGGGAGGATGAGGGTCTGGAAGTCAGAGAGGTCTCCAAGCTCAGCAATGGTTGAGGAAACCAGAGGAGGGACTAGGATCACCCTGGGGTGGGGGTATGGTGGGGGTGTGGAGGGTCCCCACGGAGTGGGGGCTCCTTGAATAACTCCCATCTAAAAGGCAACATGTCTCCAGACCTGCTCTATCCAATTCAGGAGCCACTAGCCACACATGGCTGTTGAGCACTTAGAATGTGGCTGGTCTGACATGAGACATGTTGCAAGGAGAAAAAGTACATGCCAGATTTTGAAGGCAACACAAGAAAAAGAAATGTAAAAATACTTCATTAATATTCTTATATTGATGACATACTGAAATGCTAATATTTTGGATATATTGGGCTAAGTTAAATATATCATAAACATGAACTTCACCTGTTTCTTTTTGCTTTTTTAAAAATGTGTCAACTAGGAAATTAAAAATTACACACATGGCTTGCCTTGTGTTGCTCTGGACGAACCTGAATTCCATAGGATGTGGAATAGGCATTGAGGAAAATAATACAGTGAGGTGGAAGGGTGGAGGGTAGCATCTGCACGGGAATATCATGGCTCACAATAACCCATTTCTGTACCGCAGGACTTGTCAAGTTAGGCATTCTTTCCAAAACTAAGTTTCCCCTAGATAGTTCCCCTTCCTGTGGACTTTGTATGGGGGGGGGGTTCTGCAGAACCCACTCTGAGAGACGGTGATTTCAAAAGAGATTGATAAGCCTATCAAGTAGCTAGAGAAAAGCCAGAAAGCTAAGGAAGGCCACCTGGACAGAGGTAGGAGATCCCACAGAACCCGAGGGAAGGGGGGTGCTTCAGAAGGGCTGGAGGAAGTGGAGATCCCAAGGGAGGTCTGGAGGCCCACATCCACCTTGTCAGGGCTCAGTCGATAGGTCGCAGGCGGTAACGGAAGTGCACCTCGTGGCTGGGCTGCATGGTGCCAAAGCCCCAGCGGCGGGGTTCCACAGGTGGCACAGGTGTGTCAGGGTCCACGAGCTCCATGTCAAAGTACATGACCATGAGCAGGACAAAGAGCTTCATCTCATTGATGGCCAAGAACCTTCCAGGGCAGATGGAGACACCTGAGCCCCAAGGCATGGTATAGTGGTGGATCTTCTTGCCGGCCTTGTAGAAGTCCACTTTGCGGCTACCATTGGAGTCGAGGAAGCGATCATACTTGAAGGCAGTGGGCTCTGGGTGGATGTCAGGATCCATGTGCACTGAAAGATAGGGGAAAAGGGCCACGGTGTCTCCACTTCGGAGCTGGTACTCTTGTCCGTTGGCCATCTTCAGGACGTGGTCACCTTGTACCACCCTCAGGAGGGTGGGCGCAGCCCCCAGCCGCAGCGTCTCCTCCATCACGCTGTCCAGCACTGGAGTGCGGTGCAGGATGCTGACGTCAAAGTCGAAGGACTGCCTGGCCTTCAGCTTGGCCTCCCCCAGGACTTGGGTGGCCTCCTCCTTCACAGCCTGCATGGCTTCTGGGTGCTTTAGCAGGAACAAGAGTGCCCAGAAAGAGATCGGGCCCGTGTTCCCCTGGGAGGCCCAGAGCATCATGAAGTTGAACTTGTCCTGCATGGCTGGGGCTATTCCCTGCTCCCTCAGATACTGAAGCATGTAGGATATCCAGCTGCTGATGCCATTCTTTTCCAAGTTTTGCTGCACGGACAGCGCCTTGTAGAAGAGACGCTGGAGCCGGCCCACTTCTAGCCACTCCCGGGGCCCCAGTAAGGAATAAACAAACCTGGGGAACAAGCGGTCAAACTTGCGGAACTGGACAAACAACTCCTCGGACTGTCGCAGGTCCTGCTCCTGGTCCTTTGTATAGCCGAATAAGCTCAGGTAGCCAGCCCTGAACAAGATGTTGTAGCAGAAGTGGAAGAGGCCGTCTTCACGCCAGCAACTAGCATCTGGACTCTGGCTCATGGGCCCCAGCATGACCAGGGACAGCCCGTGCAGCATGCTTTTGTTGAGCTCTGCCAAGCCGTCCCCCATGAGGTATTTGGTACTGGCTGAGTGTATCATCCGGTAGTCTCCTTGCATTGACTGGTACCCAAATACCTTTAGCACCAGTTTTTCCGCATACTCCACAAAGTCTAGTTTTCTCTGTGCGTCTTTGAGGATGGGGCCAAAGGAGAGGGGGTCCATGACAAAGGTAAAGTACTGGCCGCCTAGCTGCACTGTGAACACATCTCCATGCTTGGCCCACATGTGCTTCAGGAATTCAAACATATTATTCCGGAAAGCCATGGCATGGCCCAGCCAGGGTATAGGGCCTTTATCCAGAGGGGGCTCCTGGGGCCTGCGTTGCCGGGGCAGCCCCAGCAGACACAGGAACCCCACGGTGAACACCAGCAGGGCTCCAAGCATGAGACCCCAGAGCACCATGCCTGTGCCCTTCCAGGTTAAGCTCTGGACACACTGTTCTCTGTGTGCCAGAGAGCTTTTAAGAGGCTGTGTCAAGTTAGGGATGAACAGGTCTGTCTGCCTGGACCTTGCCCTGTAGCTGTAAAACTATTAAATAACCCTGGGAGCAAAGTGTTCTCTTCGATTTAGCACTTGCTGCAACCTGGTGGGAGGAGGGGGTGGGACCAGAAGGAAGCCCAGAAAGAAGCCTCTGGTTATGGTCACAGTCCTCTCACCAGCTTTAGGCTTTGCTCCGATCTTTTCAGACTCAGCTCCAGCATGATGTCTACAAAGCTTTCTTGGATCCCACCCTACCCCCATGATTTACTGACCATTCATACCTTTATTTTCTCATGCATTTATTTATTCGTTAATTTATTAGATCATTCAGCAGAAATGCACCAAGCACTTATTAAGTTTCATATCTCTCCCTTCCTTATCTTTAAACGATCCATAGAGCCTCTGTTGGGGTCTGTTATCAAAGGAACGAGACTGAGACAAAGTGAAAGTTATGCAAAGCCTTATCCTATGCCAAGCATTAGAAGTTAGACTGACCGAGCAGGGCTGCCTCCGAAGACAGCGACCCCCTCCCAATCTCACAGGCTGGTTTTATAGGGCATGACCGCAGACCCAAGGTATGTGGCTTCTATTGTTAAGGCATTTACTCCCGGAATCCATACCCAGAACCATACCAGGAACTGCGGGGGCGTTTATTCCCAGAATGAAGTCCGTGGATGTAAACAACAATATGGCTACCTAGGCAATATGGAGTTGCTCTGGCTAAGCAGGCCCTAATGGTAAACAGGTTTTAACATTAAATTGGCCCTAACAGCCTCCCAGACTGGCAACTCTTCAAGCAGAGGTTCAGACTTCAGTCCCTGAGCCTGGGGCCTGGAGCCCTACTTCTGGCCCAGCTGGCTTGCACACTTCTCCAGCAAGGGCAGATGGGGAATCTTGCAATACAAAATGTTGGAGTTGATAAGGATTCAAACCAATTGCTTTATTTCATGATGAGGATGTAGGTTCAGAGTGTAGTGGGGACTTTCTCTTACAACTGTCCTGGCTTCAGTGGGGGCTGTTGACCATTTTCTCCGGACCTCCTGGGAGGTGTCAGGCCAGGTCCCTGCCAGCAGGCCCAAGAAGGAGAAAGCTGTGTCATTGACTCTAAAGCCATTGCTGAAATAATGTCAGGTTCAGACTCAATTCAAGCCATTCTGATAACCCCCAGGTTACTCTTTAACTTTCTAAGTGACCCACAAATAGGGACTTTGTTTCCTCAGATTTCCACATGCCCTCTATAGTGAGTTCCCTTTGTCTTGTGGAGCTCCCCTTTGTGGGGAGCTGGAAATGTCTATACTCTGCCTCCAGGAAGTCCTCTCTGGTTACCTGGGACAACCACAGCAAGTACTCAGTATCATCAACTCTCTTCTCGCTTAGAATCAGCGGTCAGAAATTGTGGGCCAACTTCCATGAGCTGAACTTTGCCCCCCAGCCTTTAACGGATCGCAGCATCACCTTACCTTCATTCTCACCTATATTTATTAAATCCCTCCTTCCTTGGAACAGACCCATCTATCCATTCAACAGATATTCACGGCTCACTTAACTGCCAGAACTTCTGCTATAACCAAGCTTGAATCAGAGGGACACGGTCCCTGCTCTCTTGGAGTGTATGGTCTAGGGAAGGGGGAAATATATATTAGTTCTAAACAAATACGCAATTACAATTGTGTTAAGTGCTCCATGGGAGAGGAGATCGGGAAGTGGGGTGGGGAAGTCAGGAAAGCCATACTGGTTAGGTAGTGATTAAGTGGAGGCCCGGAGGAAGACAAAGCCAGGTTAGTGCGTGCTGCGTGCGGTGGTGGGGTAGACGTGGAGGTCGGGGAGCGCGCGGGACGTGCTGTTCAATGCAAGTAGCAGGCGGGTCCAAGGGACGGATGCATATCCATTCTGGCGCCAGCGTGGCTGAGGGGCTCAGAGGAGGGGGAAACGTTTTCAGCCCAGCTCAGGCTCGGCCAGCTCAAGGTGAATTGGAGCTTGGACCTATCTCACAGCACTGAACTCTAGGGCCAGCTGGTCCAGTCCACTTGGAGCCACTGAGGGGCGGCCTGACGCACGGGCAGTCCTTACTGGTTTTTAACCGGCCGGAGGCTCGCTTGCCCCGGGGAAATCGGCCCATGCGGCTGCCCGGCCAACCCTCCCGAGTGGCCAGCGACCCAGAGCGAACCCCAGGAGCCCTGCGGGACGCCTCAGCCTTCCCAACTAGGGCCGCAGCTCCGCAGGAAGGTGGCACAGAGCTACAAAGTGGAACTGAGAAGCTCGGGAGGACCAACGACACGCAGAGACGACCTCCGGGCGTGCTAGAGCGGGCGCGGGTTCGAGGGCCGGAAAGGCGGTGACGCACTTCCGCCCCTGCAGCCTCCGCGGCGGCGTCTCTACGTAGATGCTGTGGAAAGTCGGCTGTGCAGAGGCGCCCTCTGTCTGTCGGTCGGCCAGTCTTACTTAGGCATTGTGTATGTGTCTGTTTGCCTGCGGAGCTGTCAGTTTAAGGCCGTGGGCTGGGGGAGGGGCTGCGTCCTTCACTGCCACCGCAGCTGTTTCGGACGAGCACGCTGAGCGTCACCGCACTGCGGACCGCATTCCTGAGAGTTCTCACCTCCTAAGTCTGGCGGGAGCATTGTTTCGGCTGTCCTTAGACATTTTCTGTGCCCCTTTCCTGCACACCTCCTTTGCACACTCCGTGGGGAGCAGGGGGTGGTCGGCCGTGGTTTGAGTCCTGTAGACAGGGCTCAAGCGTGTCCCTGGTCCCTTCTGCTGTCTTCTCGTTACATATATGGCCCAGAATTTTGAGCAATGGTCCACCGATAGGAGGATTCCGTTTACCTGCTGTGGTTTCTATATTGGGGTTCTCCTTTGGGAGTTCTCTAGTCCAGCTGTACTGACTACCCCTGCATCTTGTTTGCTCTTTGTTGCAGTGCTGAATGATACTGACTGCTCCCTTAGTGCGTGCCACTTCCTGCCCACTGCCTCACCCCCAGAACAGAACGGAACGACAGTGCTGTTGGAATGGAGATGCGGGAGGAGTTGTTTTACTCTGCCTTTAGAGCAAATAATAGCCTCATTTAATTTAGTGCTGGACTTATTTATGGCTTCCTTTACTTCCTAGCTTTCAAGGTTCCTTACTTTTCCATTCCTCCCTAGTTTTTTAAGGTTCTGCCTCTATGGTAGCTGGGTTCTTGACAGCCTAGCCCCAGGTTAATTATTTTACTCCTAGGCTGCATCACATATACCAGGTGACAGTGAAGTCAGTACAGAATTTAAAGGGCAGACTTGGGTTCTTGTTTCAACTTTGTCATGACATGCCATGACATGTTGAAACATGACAAGCTCATGACATGACTTAGGACAGTTCAGTTTACCTCTCTGGGCCTTACTGTTATGCTGTGTCAAACAGGAAGCTGAACTTGTACTTGCCAGCATTGAGAAGCCATTATAAAGGTATTGGGTTGCAGCTTAGATATGAGCGAATATAGTGGGAGAAGATAGAGGGAAGGATGGGAATTGGGTTGATGGACCTTGAGCATCTATCCTATTCATGGCTCTGTACTGGTCATCCCCATTGTCACTGTAATCATCAGTATTCTTATGCTGAGAATTTATCATGAGCCAGATTTATGCTAAATGCTTTACATGTATTAAGCAATCTAATCTTCACATCAATTTATGGGGGATCCCCAAGACCACCCTCACATTCAGAGATTCACTAGAAGAACTAATGGGACTCAGCATATAGTTGTACTCATGGCTAAGATTTATTACAGTGGTGTACTGAGGATATATAGCCAGATCATAAGGGAAAAAGACACACACATGGAGTCTGAAAGAATCCACATGGAAGCTTCCTAATGCTTTCTTCTTCCAAGAGGAAATCAAGAGAAATTAGAAAACACCTTGTGATGGATGAGAAAACCAACATACCTAAACTTATGGAATATAGTGAAAGCAGTGTTAAGCGGTAAAATTATAACTGTAAATGCTTACATTAAAAAGAATATCTCCAGTCAATAATCTAAGTTTACACCTTAAGGAATTAGAAAAGAAGAGCAAGCCAAACCCAAAGCCAGCAGAAGGAAGGAGAGTGTAAAGATTAGAGCTGAGATACATGACATAGAGAATAGAAAAACAGAAAATCAGTGAAACCAAAACTGGTTATTTGAAAAGTTCAAAATAGACAAAACTTGAGCTAGATCAACTAAGAAAAAAAGGAGAGAAGATGCAAATAACTAAAGTCCGAAATGAAAGTGGAGACAAAACTATTGACCTTATAGAGATAGGATTATACAAGAACACTTTGAATAATTGTATGTCAACACTGTCAATAATTATACATAAACAACTTAGATAACCTAGAAAAAATGGACAAATTCCCTGAAATACAAATTACCTAAACAGACTTAAGAAGAAATAGAAAATCTCAACAGATATAATAAGTAAAGAGATTAAATCACTAATTAAAAGCCTCCCAACAAAGAGAAGTCCTAAACCAGATGGCTTCACTGGTGAAGTCTATCAAATATTTACTTTTTTAAGTTTATTTTTTTAGTAATCTCTACATGAGACTAGTAATCTCTAATGAGCCCCAATGTGGGGCTCTAACCCACAGTCCCAAGATCAAGAGTCAATCTACTATCAATAGTACCATGATACCAAAGTCAGATGAGAACATCACCTAAAAGAGTATTTCAGGCCAGTATCCCTTGTGAATTTAAATGTAAAAATCCTTGACAAAATATTAGCAAATCAAATCCAACAGCATATTAAAAGCATATAATTTGGTTATTCACCATAACCAAATGGGTGTATATCAGAAGTATAAGGGTGATTGAACACAAAATCAATATAATACATTAATAGAATGAAAGAAAGAAACCTACATGATCAATCAATGCAGAAAATGGATTCGACAAAATTGAACATCCTTT